CCATGTTACGCTACTTTTATTCCCCTGCTGCCAGCATATTAAAATGTAGGAAATTATTAAAGAAATGTAAATTTTTGCTCCACTGGCTACATTGGGTGTGTTAAACAGGCTCGAGCAGGAGGAGGAGGAGGAGGAACAGAGTTCAGACAGATGTGAGTAACGGCGTAGACATTTGATGCCTAATTTGGTTTGCAGGGCGGGGGGCTGCTCCTCTGAGCTGCTAGTTGACTCAGGGAGCTGAGAAGTTGCACTCCACGATTCTCTCCCGCTGGATGTCCTGTAGACCAGAGACTCTCCGCAGTCAAGTATCCCGCCGAATAGGTAACCGACTTTTACACAAAGCTGATTTCATGTGGAGATCATGTGAGCTTGTGCTACTTGTTGCATCTTGTTACCTGCTTGCCCCATGGGAAGAATGTGATTCTATCCGCAGCTGTTTTATGTTTTACATGTTAGAGGAAGATTTTACAGTTACAATGAAAGCTTTTATTGTTTGCATTGCATGTTTTTTTCCATACTTGACATGGGTTTGGAAATGTGGATGTATATAGCCTTAAAATGTTTAGAGTAGGAGGAACACTTATAAAGAACTACATTTATATAGATCTAAGTTGCTCCTTTGTGAGTTTGTATACAGCAACTTTTCAATATTTTTTAGCATTTTCTGCTACAGTATATTTTTAGTGAGTGACTTTCAGATATTTAGCAATTCCACAATTCTTTAAAAAAAATGCATAGGCTACTCTGTGCTGTTCCAATAAGAAAAATGCAGTTTTTTGGACATATATTTCTGTGTTTTTGTGTCAGATTGTGTTTAGTAAGCTGTAATGTGGTGAGAGCAGGGTGCGGCAGGCGGCACACCCACCTTCACTGTCAATGAATGGAGGCAGGAGCCTAACACACAGCTGTCACACCACAGACGCTGCTTTATGGTGACTTTTACTCTCTCTTTCTGGATTTTGGCACGTAGTAAACATGCCTGATTTGTGCTGAAGACAGTGATTTAGATTCTCATTGTTCTTCATTTAATCACTCCTCGCTGCGTAGGTGTGGTGGGTCAGTCTGCCTTGAAAAAAAAAAAAGGTGCAAATTCTGAAAAATAAATTAGCGTGCCTTTCATTTGAGAGATTTAGTACCTTGTGATGGTTGACATGCGGTTTCAGAGTCCTCCAGTCAGACAACAAAGGTCAATCTGTGGAAAAATGCTTAATACTTTGGATTTTCTTTGGCTTGAAAAAAAGTCAAATGTGAGGGTACATTTTTGCCCAGCCTTCGAAAACACAACACTAACATACTAACATCAAGCTATCACACACACACACACACACACACGCACACACACACACACACACACACAGACAGAGCTCATCTTGTGCTTCGACCCATGGATCCCCTGTAAGTGGATTAGGCCTACGGGTGGAATCGAGTTAGTGATGTTTTGTGATGACAACCAAACAAGAACCACACATGACTTCTCTGTCTGTGATGAACACTTGTTTCCTGAAAATCTTGGTGCACACTGTTTGCATGAAAAGTGACCGTACAGGGGTGCATGATACTGTCACATCCTATTTGCTGTCCTGTTGCAAGCTGATGTGTGCACCTATTTTCAGCACCTCTTCCATTTGGGGAAGTGTTTGTGTCATGTGTGATTTGTGCTTTCCATGCTGAGCTTTGAAAAGACACTTTTTCCACACTGGAGTCTCGTTTCTTTTCTTTTTTTACATCCCTCTGCCATTAACCTCTCCCATTTCTTTCCTGACTTGATTCTATGAGCAGCAAAAGTAATGGCATCGGGAGTGGCGGCATTGATTTTTCCATTACGACCCTCCGTATACGTTTATTTTGAGCGGTTTACATGAAGCATAATTGGTACCCTGACTTTAAAGCTGTAGTGGGAGTATTGAGCCGGGAAGGGAGAAAGAGAGGGAGTAGCCGCCAAATGAGACTATGAGGAGGGAAGGAAAGGAAAGGAAAAGAGAGCAAAGGAAAGAACTTGGCAAAATTGACAAAGTTACCAGTTGTTCAGCAACAGCCAGTCTACAGCACATCTGGAACACATCAGTAAGTTGGAAAATCTTACAAGAAATAAGGGAGAGGGGGGCAGTGAAAGAGAGGGGCCTGGTGGTGACTCACCTCTCTGTTATTCCACTCTATCACTGTGTTTAAACTATGTGTCCTTCTGTGGAGAGGCACAGGGCTTCCCCCGTGTTCCTCCCTCTTTTTACTCCCTTCCCCTCACCTCCCCTTCCTTTTCGCTTCAAGTGAGTCATCCTGCTGGAGTTTTAGGGGTCTCTTTTTCCATTTCTGCCTCTTTTTGTCCTCTCCTTTCTATTCATACCTCACTGCCAGTTCAGCTCTTCTCCTCCCCAGCCTCGTCTCTTTTATAGGTGTTTAATGGGACTAATGTAAACAGGCCTTTTCTCCTTGTTTATAACTGTCTCTTTGTGTAAACTGGGAACAGGGAGGACAGCGCTTCTGGAGCCAAGTGGGTGATGAGTGTCAGGAGGGATGGGAGGGAGGACAGTGTGGTCAGAGGGTTGTTGAACTATGAAATTTTCCACCTTGTCTTGTTAAATGTCTTGTTGTGGCTTAAAATCTTGTTGGTCTCCAAGCCCCATCAGCATTTGTGTTGAGTTCTTGTCACATCCAGATATATTTTATATTTATCAGCTGTCATCAGTACCAGCCTGTCAGAATTAAAGAGCAAGAGCTTCTTCATATAGACTCCATATGCACCAGCGTTCAATAGAAAGAGGACATCTGCGACGCTGTACAAATTAAAGTAGCCTCATTAGATCACAGCGCAACGCAGCTGCACACAAGTTGCAGTTTGAGTCATTTACATCAACTGAAAATAAAAAACTATCACTGCCTTGAAGTGGAGACAGCTGAATGAAATAATTTCACACCTGATTCATATCTGTAGGTCTTGTCACAAAGCAAGTGTTGCAAGTGTTGTATCCTGATTGACGTGTGCCAAAACTAGAGCTGAAAAGATTAGTCAAATATTATCTGATCAAAAGCAATTTTAAAAAAGTAAAAAAGTAATTTATCAAGCAAAAATTGCTTGGTTTCAGCTTTGGAAATGTGAGGATTTACTATTTCTCTCTGTTTTATATCATCATTTTATATAATTTTATTTGTTTTTAGACAAAACCAAGTCAAAGATTTTCCTTTTGACTGTTGGAAATTCTGATGGCATTTTTTTTTTTTACTATTTTCTGACATTTTAAAGACAAAATCAATAAAATTATCTAATTTCTAACTAAATATGGAATAATCAAACTTAAGGTTTGGAATGAAACATCTCTAGGTATTGTTTATTAAGAGTTTAATACTCAAACAATTCAGCTACTACTATAGAACCCTATCTCTCATAGTAATAACCTGATTAGGAAAATAGGTTTTCAGGGCGTTTAAGATGCAGTTTCCTTTAATAATGTTAAGAATTTAAAGGTTCAGTGTGTAATATTTAGGACGATCTATTGACAGAAATGCAATATAATATACATAACTATGTTTTCAGTGGTGTATAAAGATCTTACATAATGAACTGTTGTGTTTTTATTATTTCTATCTCATCCCATTTCTATCTCACATGGAGGTCGCCATGTTGCACCGCCATGTTTCTACAGTAGTCCAAACGGACCAAACGGTCCAAACTGCGCCACAGAGCGTGTTTTGTCACTACGGTGAATGAACACAAAGAACAGGAGAAGAAGAAGAAGTAGTAGTAGTATTAGTTGTCGTCTGGTTTATTAGAAGTAAGAAGAGACATGAAATTTGGGCAAATAGTTGACCACATGTATTATTTAGAACAAGAGCCGACAGAGCGTAACTATAAGGTCTCCTCCATGCTTCAAAGGGAGGGGTGAGCGATGACTGATGGTGCATTCATGTGGAGTCGGAATAATCGGAATTTATTTTCCCCTAGTTAAATCTTTACTGCAAAAAGAGAAATAAAGTGTACATGGGACATCAAGAAGTGTACAGAACAGTATACAAATATAAAAGAAGACAAATAATAAAAACTTTGACGGGGTAGTCTATATTATATAAAGATATTAAAATAGGACCGTATGTTGACAGTTTTCAAACCTTTTTTTTTTTTGGATTTAGAAATTAAATTGATATACAATTGAGAAAAAGTACATAGTTGCCAAAGAAGGTTAAAATCAAGGGCAACTGGACTCGGTTGTTAGGTTTTTTACTGCTGAATTTACATTAATGAATATGGAATTTTTCCATTAGCATTAATACATTTATTATAAAGTACTTCTTTTTTTTTACTTTTTAAAAGCAAAATAACACATTCTTCCACATCATTGAGGAGCATGTTAATGCATAGTGAGCCGCTGGTTGCCATTTTCAACCCTCACCACTAGATACCGCTAAAACTTACACACTGAACCTTTAAGCAGCAGCACTAGATGCAAAGCCTTGTTAAGATTTCAGATTTGTTTACAGTGTAGATGAGGACCCTGGGAGTGGGAGTGGAACAAGTGCATAGGGCCATGTTTAGATCACGATGACAGAAACACTGTAGGGGCACTGTAGGTTGTGGCGCCACACCTACCACCGAGGTCATGAGCGTGGAGGAATGTCCGAGTGAAACAGCACTCAGCACAGGAATGCTGTTGAGAAAGCAGTCTGCAGTTTGATAGGAGGCAGAAACTACTGGAGGAAAAGAGAGAGAGTGTTCAACAAATGATTTGACCAGATGTCAATGTTCTGTAACTAGTGTGACAACAGTGCAGTCATTATTTGTGTTTTGAAATTGTGTTTTCATGGTTCAAGTTGTTGTGTCAACCATTCATAAAAATACAATAACGCCATTGTGTTTCAGAAAATGTTATGTAGGAGTATCGAGCCTGTTTGAGCAGAGTTGCAAGCTGTTGCCCTCATGTAGTCGTATCTTGTACTTTATCTAGAGGTCAAAGAAAGTAACTCTAAAATGCTTGCTTACTAATTCTTTTCAATCTCTCTTTTTTTTTTACAGTTTTCTCTGCCTTCTCTGAGTGGCTAATGGTAAAAATCTGAGGAAGTGACTCCAAAAATACGACTCGGATCTCACAGGAACCTTTTCAGCTTCTCTCATCACCTACTACATCTTCCAGAATGGGTATAGTCATCCACTCCAGCCCTCTCCTATGGACACGGTTGGCAGCCATGGTCTTCGCCTGTGTGGCCTTCTCCGTGGCCATACATGGGGCCAGAGTCAACCATGGCACCGGAAACTGGTGCATCTTCTGCTGGGTCTTCAGTTTCGCCGGGTCTCTTCTCGTCATCCTGGTGGAGCTGTTCGGCCTTCAGGCCAGAGCCCCGGTTTCCTGGAAGAACTTCCCTATCACCTTTGCCTGCTACGCCGCCCTGCTCTGCTTGTCTGCCTCCATCATCTTCCCCCTCTACTACCTCAGGGGCTCCTCAGCTTCTGGCCCAAATGAAATCCGCGACTACCGCATTGTGACAACCGTCTTCTCCTGCCTGGCCACCATCACCTACATGAGCGAGGTGAGCATCAGCAAGGCGCGTCCAGGGGAGGTGGCCGGCTACATGGCCACAGCCCCTGGCCTGCTAAAAGTCTGCGAGACCTTTGTGGCCTGCATCATCTTTGTCTTCATCAGCGACCCTGTGGCGTACGACCGTCACGATGCACTGAAGTACTGCATGTCCGTTTACTGCATCTGCTTCATCCTGTCGGCGGCCATCATCCTGCTGTGCATAGGCGAGTGCACCGGCTTCCTCCCCTTCCCGTTTGCCCGCTTCCTGTCTCTGTACGCCCTGCTGGCCGTGGTCCTCTATCTGTCAGCAACCATTATCTGGCCCATCTTCAACTTTGACCCCAAGCATGGTGGAACAAAAGAAAGGCCCAACAATTGCAGCAGTGCGATGGGACTGTGTATGTGGGATAAGGCCATGGTGGTAGCTGTGCTCACTGCTGTCAACTTCATCCTCTACTTGTCCGACTTAATCTACTCTACCCGCCTGGTGTTTGTCAGCGCTTGAGGGAAGAGAAAGTGTGTTAGGTGTTAGCAGTATGCTCCAAATAAAATTGAATTTGGCATGTTCTCAAAGGCCGTCGAACTGCTGTCAGATACAATGCTGCGAGCAAATGTGAGTGTACTCACTCCATACTTGCTGGAGGAAGTTGTGGGTCATGATGGGAGCTGACTGAGTTATACCACAACTGGTATAGTTTATTGTAGTATTGTAATCTAGTGTGACTCCATTTGTTGTTTGAAATTTGCCCTGATAACTAAAGGATTTGATTTCACTATAGTTCTACCAGAACAAAATAGTAAAAGTGGCCCAAAGTACTTGTGTAATGGTTGACCCAGGATGTACTGGAGAAAATATTATGGGGGCAGCGAACATGGTTTTTAAAAGAGATTGACAAGTTCAGCTGGCCGACCTGGGTAATCAAACCAAAATCTTGGGTTTTTTTTGGCCCCAAGCAGTTTTGCCTCGGCAAACCTGCCAAATTTGATTTTGTGTAAAGTATACTGCCAGTCTGAGGACAATAGAGAGAAAAGAGGGAGAGGCTGAGGTCAATGGCTATGTTTACACGTACAACGAAATAAATAACTGAGGCTTTCTGTTCATGTGTTGGAGCATGTAAGTGTCAAACCTTGCTTCCATGACCTGGATGACTCTTATATTGATTATGAGAGGCCTGATGTGATTGCTGGAACATGCTGATATTACCCGACCAAGCTTTTTATACATTTTAATTGCAGATCACTGCCCACTGTAAAACTCAAAATACAATATTAGTTCATGTATACACAGAGATGTCTGTGATCTGGATATGACCAAGCTATTTACAGAATCTCAACAAGGATACAAGCTAACACCTAAAATACTATGTGCATGTAAACATAGTCTGTAATGACAAAGGAAGAAAAAACAAGGAAAATGGTGGCTTATTATTGTGTTTTTGTTAAATTTGTTTTGCATGATGTATATGTCAGTGCTCTGCCTTGAGTTTGTTTTCAATTTGATGTCAGTTATAAAAAGACCGCCGAGCAGTATTTCTGTTTTAAACAGTTAAAGGATGAAATGTAATAAAATAATGAATATTACCTGTAAGGAGCCATGATTAAGATTAAGATGATTTCATTAAATGAATTGACTATTGTTTTCCCAATAGAATGCAGAGCAGCTGATAAGGATCTGATGTTTTAAGACTTGAAGTAGTGCAAAATAGCTTACATGACTGCTAGGCTAGCTTTTTGTTCCTGTTATGATATATGTGTATTTGTATCTGCAAGCTACAATCAATGGCAAGAATATATATGTGGAAAGAACATATACAAGATTGTGGATTTAAAAAAGAAGACAAATATGTTTAAAGTGCACTTAAATATTAGTATTTTTACGTGTGTTTAAATGAATGGTGTCTCCAAATATCAAAACATCTGTTAACACCAAACTCACTCCACATTTACTGTTTTATGATTGGGTCCATTTGAACTGCTGTAATTAACACACAGAGAAAAAGACTAAAATAGATGCTTCTCTCTCTCTCTCTCTCTCTCTCTCTCTCTCTCTATATATATATATATATATATATATATGTTGTTAGTATTATATTCCTCAAATGTTTTTTTATATCCCACTGTTTGTATTTCAAGTGTGCATACCACATCAGTGATGTAAGAAAACATAATCCAGTGTTTCAATAAAACCACATGGTAAACAGAGTGTATGTACTATTATTTATCTTTTGGTTTGGTTATATTACTCATTCTCATGATTTTAGTTTTTAGCTATATATGCTAATTGGGAAGGACCCTGTACATAAGCAGTCTCTATGGGCTCCTCCCCGCATCTACGGCTATTTGTTCTTCATGGGCTCCCAGCACACGCAAGCCAACCGTACATTTCCTCTGTGGTTAGTACTGAGCCTGTCAAAAGTGATTTGAAAACTGCCTTCAGTTGTTCTATATACATATAACCGCTCTCACAAGCGAGATAAATTAATTCACTTTAAGAAAAAGGAGCAATGCTTTGTTAAAGAAAGGGTTGTACCCTCTGGCATGGGAACATGGCTACTCCAATAGCCAGCTACTGGCAAGTCATGAGCTAGTGTACCTTTATCACCATGACTGAACTTCATCTCAACTATCCATGTCCAAGGGAGCTTGTAGAGTCAGAGTTCAGTTTTGTGTTACAGTATCTGTATAAAATAAGTTCCTTGAAGCGTTATGAAATAAAATGATTCATCAACATATTAAGCTTACATAGAAAGTGTTTGACTATGGTCAGTTTTTATTAAAGGCTTATCATAAACATATGAGCGCATTGTATGTTTATTTGGTCAAATTCAAATCTAATATTTGTTTTGACACATAGAGTATAATGTTTGCTGTCTTTCCTTTTGTTTTTCTCTTGCCTTTGTATGTAATGTATTTAGTGTATTGTAAGCCATTGTGGGCTGGGCACCTTTTGGGGTATGACAATACCCCAAAAGGGTATAATTATAATTCATTCATTCACAAAGCTTAATGAGCTATTGTACCTTGAGTTTGAGCTTATGTCTTAGTTTTTCAAGCAGAATAGTTCTGAAAAAAAAAAAAAAGAATGGCATTGTGTCCATCATTGAGTACAATCCTACTGATTTCCTACTTTCTAACATCTATTGTGGTTAATTTGTTTACATTTTGGGTTACATAACATATTAAGACTGTCACCAAAAAATATGTTATCCACTACCATTTATATTGTACTTTGATTATAAATGTATTCATATGCCACTAAGGAAATGGTAAAGTGAGCAGGACCCCTGGAGTGACAATGCTATAAACTCGGTACTGAATTTCAGCTTTACTCTTAACTGTCCCACTCTTTATTTTAGCAAGATTCAATCTCTGCTGGCATAAGGTTGGTCTGCGCTTTTGCCTGTTTTACACCATTTCCCAGTTAGTTTTGCTGCTGTTTGATACAGCGAAAAGTCATGTGGGGAGTAGCCTTCCTACTCTCCTTAAGTAACTAAATTAATTCTTGGCCTACCCACTCTGACCCATAAAAAGAACAAAGATTTTTAGTCATCAGCGCCACAATAGCTTGATACAATCTCGAATGAGGAGGCCGTAGAAAGAACTCTGTCTCAAACGCAGCATCAAGTTTTCCACTCTTGAGGCAGACGTGTTGACTAATTTAAATAGACTCCTGTGTCCTCATCTTCCCACAGATGCAACTTGTAGCTTCCTGCTTGGCTTGAATTTGAACCTCTTCCCTTTCCAAGCCTGGAATGGCAGACAGCTGTGCAAGTGCATGAGTAACAAGTGATGTCATTTTGTTGGGTTGTTCCTCAAAAAGCTCATTTTATTTCAACACATTTGTTTCCTCTGACTCTACGTTGATCCTTGACTGTGTTGTAATTTGCTGCTGCCACTACATGATATCTTGTCATCCATGTGTTTTAAAGCGGAACCTGACCATGTACACATAAAGGTCAAATTATTAGTCAAGGGGAGTGCTACTCAAGTCTGTGAAACAACAACTTAAGGTTTTACAGAGGGGTCATGTGAGGGGCTACTTCTTGCCGGATGCAGTGACTTCCTCTCTGCTGGTTGCCTAGCAACTTAACTGTGATGTTGGAAGGAAATTACTGCTCCTGGCCAAGTGGTTATGATTGATCACCCGAGATGAAGCATGTTAATTAGGGAGCTCTACAAGTGCTGGTAGGCGGATTAGGTTACCTTTAGACAGAGCCAGGCAAGTCATTTCCTTCTGTTTTCAGTCTTTATGCTAAGCTAAGCTAACTGGCTGTAGCTTCAAATTTATCATACAAACAGAACACTGTTTGTCACAGGAACACTCAACATTAGACACACAAGGACGTGACAAACACTGGAGACACAAGCACGCATACATTTACACAGGGACTAACGAGCAGGGCGGGAGCAACACAGGTGAGCGGGATCAGGGCTACCGAGGCAGGCCAAGAGTATGGAAAACAGAGCGACTAGCTGAGAGACAGCAGGGGGGAACAGAGAGACACTTACAGATGCAAAACACTATACATTAACAACAAGCACCACAGGCTGAAGCAAGGACAAAACAGAACCCAGATTAGACATGGGCACAATAACATATAAGAACACAGACCAGAAGTAAACACTAAGACATGAACTAATGTACAGTACTAAGAACTAACTAAACAAGACTACACAGAGGAACACAGAACCAAAAACGGACTTAAACAGGAAACATGAACACAAAACCACATTCCTAACAATATTGTAGACTGTAGTTTACAGCAGCAGCCATGTGCCTGGACAAGACTGAATTCACAGAGTATATACGGTCTTATACTGTAGGCATGTAGTCTGTTAGTAGATATAAACACGCACACACTAGTTATTAATTTAGTTAGGCAACAAGGGTAGTAGTACAAATAAGCTTGTAATTAATTTGTAATTGCGAGGCGGAATGTGTTTTTGAAGGAAGGAAGAAAATTATCAACAGAAGACAGAGAATGGCAGCACACCCCCTGACATAATGTTAAAGGCAGTCAGGCAGGTGAAGTTGAAGAACAAATCAATCAGAAGTACAGCTAAGCTAATCACTTTTGGCCTCATCTATGTGGAGCCATTTTCATACATTATTCCAAAGAAGACGTGGTTTAGCACCACATCTGTTTAGTTAAGAAGTTAAACATTTAAGCAAGTTATCTGCAGCATTACATTCAATTACCATAGATCTATTTGCACTATTTGCATAATGAGAGGGGCATACCCGCACACCGGTGGCTCATTCCTGAAGCATTCCCATTAAAATATTTGTTAAACTTTTCTCCAAGCAGAACACTCTTTTTTAATTTATTATGTGTTCCAGAACCATGCCTCAGTCAGTCTTTCACCTGAGGACTGTGAAAACGGTAAAATCTCTCCAACTGCAAAAAAAATTCAATTATGCACAATTCATAAATTTCATGACATTCAATTGGGCACAGAAGGCCTTCATCATGTTTACGCAGGTCATTTACAGTTATCAGTAGTTAGGAAAGTTTCTGAATCTGTTGTGGCACACAGGTATATCGCCACCATACGAAAAAAAAAGAAAGATAAGAAAATGAAAATGTTTTAACCGGCTGATATTTCTCAGCCTAATTGTGGACAGCAACACTAGTCACAAATGTGTACAATGTTGAAATTTAAAACAGCATTGTGGGAATACAAACACAAATACCAACCAAGCATTAGCCAAAGTATTACAATTACACTGGAATTAGGTAATATACTCTAACATTAGCATTAGCATTAGCATTAGCGTTAGTCAGCCAGTATAATGTTATGAATAAAATTAGAAATAGCATTATATTCTGTTAAATGTTTTGTATTTCAGTAGTTGTGATGCAACTACAGATTGTCGGCCAGTCCACAACTTTTAAACTGAAATATCTCTAATGGATGGATTGCCATACATCTTGTACCTGACATCAATGGTCCCCAGGGCCCAGTTGTTCAAAAGTAATCTGATCGAAGAAATCCGGATTATCCTGATCCCAACAGAAGGGTGGATTCAGGAACAAAATGTCACAAAACTTCTGACATTTTCCAAATAATACAACATTTTTATCATGTAGTAGCCTATATAAACATTTATTTATATTTTGCACTTGATTTGTTTAAACATTACAGTGATAAAGTAAATAAAGCAGACATTACCTATTAAGTCATTCAGTACAGTAAAAAAAGATTAAATAATCCCCCAAACAGCTGTCAATTTCAAACGGAAAATAATGAATTTAATTTCAACTGGCACATTCGTCAGAGATGAACCATTCAATAGTTTGTAACAATTGCGTCCCTTAGTACACTTCCAGTCAGTCCCTCATTCTAAGATTGCCTCCTAAAAGCTAAAAGCTGCTCTCTGAACTCTGAATGAACTTAACTATTAAACTATTGGATAACACATGATCAGAATATCCACTGTGTATCTGTGAATAATGTACACTTGCTTGTTTTTTCTTGGATTTGTGGTGGATCAGATTCTGCAGGTTCTGACTGCATAAAGAAATTGAAAATGGAAGGAAATGTTTCTGTTTTATTGTGCATTTTCTGTCTCTTCAAATTAAAGTGACCTCACGCTGGCTGTTCTGCCTGTTGGTCTGTATATAATTAACAGCTTTGTAACATGTAGTCCATAGAGAACTGAAAATCCAGATTTGGTAATCATGAAACGTTTGTATCTGGATCAAGGTGATCCAATCCAATGTTGCTTTGAAAAACTGGCACAAAAGTAAGTGGGGTTACGTGATCTGGGATCGAAAAACATCATCATTCTGATCCAAATTAAACTTAAAATTAAACAACTGGGCCCAGAGGATGAATCCAACTTTGGTGATACTGTGGTTTATGATCAAATGCCTAAAAAACTAATACATTCCCATAACCCTCCAACAGCCAAATATTTAGATTGCTAGCATCACTGTCTTGTTGCTACAGTTTACATTATCGCAGACGCAAATTCAAAGAAATTGCACTGCAGAATAATTTCCTTGGTGTGTGTGTGTATATGTGTCTATATATATATATATATATATATATATATATATAATAGCAGATTGTTGGCACTGAACACATGGTTCTCAACTGCGTGTACCGTCCATTCAGTGCACTTTAATTGACAATTTAAACTTTTTAAGGCAGATCAACTTTGCCTTAACAAGTCAGGAGTAAAATGGTTCCACTCTG